ATGCCATGACATGCCATGCCGTGCCATGCCGTGCCGTGCCATGACATGCTGTGCCATGTCATGTAGACTTTCAGCTGGGCCTGATGGACACCAGCAATAGAGCTGGTTAGAAGATGTGGGTTCGTGAGTGGAGTCATGAGTGGGACGCTAAAGGGACATCAGCCCGTTCTTGGGGCAGAGCCAGTGAGTGTGGGAGCAAGATGAAGGGCAGAGCACCAGCTCCCGAGCCAGAGTGTGGGTGAGGAAGAAGAGGGGTTGCTGTCAGCTCCAGACACAGATGATGTGGTTGCCGTGGGTTCTGCAAATCCTGCTCTACTTGTCCCAGCTTTAGCTGAGAGAGCCCTGGATGAAACGGGGCCGGGAGGGAGCTGGAGCTGCACCACCTCCACTGGCAGCACTCAGCCAGGTCACTGGATGTGCAGGAGCAGATATTTTGTTCAGAGACACGTGTGATTTGCTTGCAGTTCATTGGACTCTCACAGAGGAACAGGACTGACATCAAAGAGGAAGAAAGGGCTGGGATGAAAGCGCTTGGCTGTTGGCACAATCTCTACAATCAAAGTTGAGGTGAATATTAACTTAGATGAAGGGCTCAAATTCTCCTGCAAAGCCCTGGATGATGCTCTGGGACACGCACTTCTTTGCACCGCAGTGAGCCAGGCTGCAAGATTCCCCCTGCCAGCACAAAACATCCCTGGAGACTGACAACAGAACCCGTTTCACTCTTTAAAGAGTGAAGCAAGAGCAGCCAGGATGGGAAGAGGCAAGGAAGGAGGTGTTTTAGCATCTAGAAGAAAAGACCAGGAGCACAGCTTGAAAAGCAAATGGAAGAGCTCCAGTTTGCTCCTTAACTGAGTTTCTTTGGTAGCCACGTGGCTTTAGGTACGTTTGTCAATGTGTTTGCTTACAGAAGGTTTTAGGTCTTCGACCGTTGAGTTTTAAAACTCCTTCCAAGCCCAGATACTTGGTGGTCGTTGCTGCTTTCATGGTGTGCTGATTTCAGTCTGTCCTGAGAAGGTCAGCAGGTTTTCTAAGGAGTATTTGAGCTGGTTTTGAACTTAGGTCGAGCTGGAGGCGAGTGAGCTGGGGATGTTGCTGTTCGAAGTGCAGACAAGGGACCAAAGGATGCTGATTTCCACATTTAACCTCCTGTAATGTCTCTGCACCTCAGCTCCATTGCCCTGAACATCTCATCCCTCAGGATCATGAAGGACTCCAGCTGCTCAGGAGATATGTGCCACGTCAATACGATATCGAGGATGCAGAGGCAGATTATCTCTCAGGAGACCATCATAGAACCATAGAATCATTAAGGTTGGAAAAGATGTTCCCTTCCTTTCAGCAAAATAGTGCCACCCATAAAAGCAAATATTTCCTGCTTACCAGCTGCTCGCTGTCATATCCACGACGAAGTGGATGAGTCTCCTCCATATTTGCACAGTGACCAACCCAAGGGAAGCAATCTTGGCAGCTTCTGAGGCCCTCCCATAATAAACATGATTAGTAACAATTAAAAACTCATTACAGTTTTAATTACAGCCAACATAATGCCACCTGGATTCATTCCCCAATAAGCTCATAAAATATTGCACCTTTTATATTTCTTTCCACGTTCTAATGCAAAGAATATTGCACCACTTGCACTCTGAACCGGGTCATATGATAAACGTCTGCCAGCTCTCCTGTCCTTCCAGCAGCTTCCTGCACATCGGGCTATCTTCACACGAGTCCTTATGTTCCTTCAGTGCTTGGGCCAAGCTCCCCTCCAGCTCCGCTGAGGGCTCTGCAGAGTCCATCCAGTTTGCTTCTGGCTTTGTTGAGGGTGAGATCTCCATTCTGTTCCACCTCGGCAATGCTTGCTGGAAGGAAGAGTGCTCTGAGTCCCACCAGCTTGGACCAAACGGTGTCCCCTGAGCTGCGGGGCACCTAGACACCAGTGGTCTTGCACTAAACCAGTTGGTGACTGGAGAGGCCAGCAGTCCCAGACTATCTCACAACCCCACATTACTCGGACTGAGTGATGGAGACTCGGTGGTAAACGCTGGGAGTAGGGCATTTGCCATCTCACTTTTAACTCCAATCTTTGCAAGCCAAAAGTGATCTGAAAATGCGGGCAGGTTCTCGTGAGCACCTAAGCAGAGCCCACAGGAGACTCCTGAGGACAGATATTGTATTAGCACAGACAGCACGTGTCCTTCTCTGTAGAAAACCAGAACTCACAAGCTAACAAAAAATGTATTTATTTTCTATATTTTATCCTCTATCCAAAACAGCAACAGTGCTGCCAAAAAATATTGAAGAGTTATCACGGCTTGCTCACACTGAGGCTGTTTCACAAGTGAATTCACTAATTTTAAGGAAAATAGGCCCCGTTGCTGCAAATATGGATCTACTTTTACGCTGGAGCTGGCAGCCAGCACAGCACCCCACGGAGCACAGGAAAGGGACCCCATCGCTGGGCTGTTACGATCTTTCATTCAAGCACGATGTACTTGAGCAATTAGCATTACTCCTTTTTTCATGAGCACAGCAGATGGGAAAGATAAACTCTGGCACCTCCATGTTGTAGCCTGGCCCCTCTCCAGGAAAAACTCAGGGAACTCATAAAAAGCCTGTGGCTTTCTGCAGGATGACACCTGCATGTTTGGCTTCCTGGGTTTCAACACGCTGGAGAACTTCACTCTCCCTGCCATCCTCCCAAGGAAGTCCCCAGGAATGCTCTAGGGCTTTGCAGCAGCTTTGTCTGTACCCATCCTTGGACTCTCCAGTGGGATGAGGAAGTAGGAGATGACTTCTTGGCTTCTCCCATCCCAAGCTATAAATTCTACAATCAGAAGTGTCGTTGTTTATTCAAACAAGAGAATAAGACATATTGCAGCTTGGTATAAACATCAGATTAAGAGGTCAGGTGTGTCAAATGAAAATACTTGGGGAAAAATAAGAAAAGCAGCATGAAAGTAACAGTAGTTCAAATGAGAACTACCATTTCTTCCTCATTTGTTTTGTTCGTTTAGATGGCAAGGACTCTGCAGTGCAGATCTTCTCCATTTCCGCACTTTTATCTGAACAACACCGTGGCTGCACGAGGATAATGCGCACACTACAGTCAGGGTTGATTCACCCACTGGTCAGGCTCTCACTCCTCCCAAAGCTGGAGAAGAATCCAGCCAAACATTAATCAAATTAATTTCGTTGGAATGGGATGTTATTCAGAGAGGGCTAATGACTAACCCGACTGGGCAAGCTGGAGTTATAATAGCAGGTTCCAGGCTGTGGCTCATACTTTCACGCTACTTTTCATCATGAGTAATTTGTGTCCACGTAGCATCTTCAGGCCTTCCCACCACCCATGTACGAGGTGCTGGTGCCCGTGCAAGAGCCCGGCTCATCAGATAGATGGTGCTGCTTGCCCTTGCACCAGCCACGGGTGGAGGACAACGATTCTTCATCGGTGCGTCAACTGCCCGCTGCAGAGCTGTCACTGGCGTCCTCCCCCATCGAGGCCTCCAGGGCGCCAGGGTGTGAGCTCCAGGCACCGTCAGGGCTGAGCCACTGCATGGTGGTGATGGGTTGTCTAAGCGTCCCCTTGGGATGACGGCTGTGCCAAGGACTGGTGCTAGCTGCCACCTCCTGATGGCTGTGTTCGAACTGCAACAGCCCAATGGCAGTGGTCAAACCACTCAAGTCCAACTGCCACATCCCAACTGTCATGTTCAAACTGCCACATCCCAATGGCCTTGTTCACCCCATTCGAACGGCTGTGTTCAATCTGCCAAGTCCAACTGCCACATCCCAATGGCCATGTTCCAAATGCCCAGTCCAAATGCCACAACTGCCCTGTTCACACTACCGTGTTCAAACCATCTCATCCAGATCATCACGGTCCAACTTCCACCATTCGTTGCCACATCCCAACCACAGTGTCCCTGCTGGTGGCCCTGTCTGCTTCGATCCCGAGGTGCCCATCAACCAAGGGCTGGACACCCATCCTGCTGCGCTTGGGACAAGCACAACCCCCTCACCTCCTGGCCACCAGGCTGACATTGCATGTTCCCTCCCTGTGCCTCACCCCTCACAGCCATGGCTCTCCCACCCTGCAGAAAGATGAGGAGCAAGATGGCACCTCCTATGAGGAGAGAGAAGGGCCATCATCCTCCTCTTCACCTCAGCTGGGCGGTTCATGGTGCTCAGTGATTTGCACCAGAGAACAGCACCGTAGGCATTGCTGTTCCTAATGGCAAAGAACAAAGTGTGTTTTCCCTTCCCTGGGGACCAGTAAGTGACAAGATGACACACAGATATCTTTTCATCTGTCTGCAGTTTATTGGCAATGAAAGAACTTGGAGGAAAGAGATGCTGCTAGAAAGCAACCATGCAGTAGGGTTCACGCAACAGAAGGTTCGCAATAAGGCCATACAGACATCAGGTGTGAAGGAGAGGAGGGAAAGGAATCTATAAAATATTAAAGCTGCCAAATTACTCCACCAAGCGAAGGTGGACATCTCCAGAGTCCTGTTTCTCACTCCTAAATCTGACTGTGAGACATTATCGTGTTTCTTCTGCTTATGTGAATTCCTGATATAGCTGCAACAAGCATGTGGGTAACATGCAGGACACGCGGAAGGCGCAAGGGAAACACGGCCATTGAAAAAGAGACCTTAAAAAGTGAAAGGAAAGAGCAGTTTTATACACGCTCCTCCTCAGCCAGTGCAGCAGCCAGCGGTAGCAGCGAGAAAGATGCTCGGATGAGCTCTGCAGTCCCTGGTGCCCACGAGGGAGACCTTTCATCCCTGGTGGAGCTCAGAGAGGGGCCAGACCCTGCCAGCAGGACGGTGTTTCACTGCGGATCTCCCCGTGGGCAGGATGATTTCAGGAGGTTGTGACCTGTGAGGGAAACAGTTCATTTCTCTGCTGGATACCGGCTCAGGATGGAAGGGGCTGTGCTGCTGGCTGGAGAAGGGAAAAGATGCTTCTTTCCTTGGGGGGACTGAGGTCAGGGCTCAGTATTTTACACCTGAAGATTTGACCGTTGTGGTCGTGACACATCTCCGCACTGAGGAGGATCCACCGCCGGCAATGAAGCTGCCACCTCCAGAGCTGCACACTCTTCCACTTCCAGAAGAGAAGCCACCACTCAGTATTCCTCCTCCCACACCACAACTGCCTCCAACGATGCTTCCTCCTCCAACGGCACATACTCCTCCTCCTATGCCACCGCTGGGTCCAAAGCCACCAGCTCTGCCTCCAGAAACCGTGGTTCTGCCCACCACAGCTGCAAGAGAAAGACAGGATCAGTGTACATCAAGTGACAGCCCCTCATGAAACCCGGGGTCAAAGCCACCCTCCAGAGAAGACGATGGAGAGATACTTACAGACATTTACGTTGGACAGGTTATCTCCACAGAGCCTGTGTGGGGAAAGGAACACAAGTTGTAAATCTGATGTAATAGAAGGCAATAAAGCCCCATGCAATTTACCAAGTACTCCTTTTATTTCCTATTTCACTTAACATCAATTAAAACCACAGAAAAATATTCCCTGTGAGGACCTCATTTCTGTTTTGGGCTTTTTTCACTGTGACGGTGGTGAGGCAGTGGCCCAGGTTGCCCAGAGAAGCTGTGGATGCCCCATCCCTGGAGGGGTTCAAGGCCAGGCTGGATGAGGGTTTGGGCAACCTGGGCTAGTGGGAGGGGTCCCTGCCCGTGGCAGGGGGGTTGGAACTTGATGATCTTTAAGGTCCTTTCCAACCCAAACCATTCTGGGATTCTATGATTAAAAACTTGGGAAAAAAATGAAAGCAAATCAGATTCCAACATTAAATGGGTTGTGAGAGATGATTAAACCTCAGTCTGTCCCAAGGAGAGACAGTACCTCCATCGGGCCAAGATGACAGCAGGTCTCACCTGTTCTCCTCTCCCTCCAGAAGCTTCCTGTACATGGCAATCTCAACGTCCAGGGCAATCTTGATGTTCAGCAGCTCCTGGTACTCCTTCAGCAAGCGATCCTGTTCCTCCTTCAGCAAGCGAGCCAGCTCCTCCTTGTCTTTGCTCAAGGCACATTCCAGCTCTTCCAGTTTTCTCCTGGCATCCTTAAGGGCCAGCTCACCCCTCTCCTCAGCCTCAGCAATAGCTGACTGCAGCTGGCAGTTCTGAGAAAGGAAAAAAAAAAGCAGCTTCTCAGTCCCCTTCTGCACCCCCTCCACTGGAGCAGCCCTCAGGGCACCAACTGGATGGAAAAGAGGCAGGAACCATCAACGTCCTCCCAAGGACATGAGATTCAATGACCACATTTCCCTCACACTATCCTTTGCTCATCACCCAGCTCAGATGGAACCCAGCCTGATGCCGTCAAGGAAGGAGATGCCAGGGAAGCCCTACCTGCTTCTTCACGTTCTCAATCTCAGCCCGCAGCCTCTGGACGTTCCTGGTCAGCTCTTGGATCTCTATCTTGGTGTTGCGGAGGCTGTCCCCATGCCTTCCAGCTGTGCTCTGCAGCTCTTCATACTGCCGGCATGGAGACAAAGCAACCCATCAGTGCCAGAACCAACCCAGAAGAGGTGTCTCACTTTCATAAATTATTGCAAGCTCAGCTATCCCTAACATTCTGTAACTGCTTCCCAGCTCACCTGGCTCTGGTACCAAGCCTCAGCCTCCGCTCTGCTGCTCTGCGCAATCTGCTCGTACTGGCGCCTGACCTCCTCGATGATGCTGTCCAGGTCCAGGTGCCGGTTGTTGTCCATGGACACCACCACGGACAGGTCCCGGCTGATTGTCTGCATCTGAGCCAGTTCCTGCAACCAAGACATGAGTTAGCCCAACCATC